TCTCTCTTTAGCAGTGTTATTCATTTTGTTGACTTCAAACACTAACTAGCAACCTTTTAGAAATACATTACTATGACACAAGCTTGGTTCAAAGTAACCCAAGCCCCGTTGTGAATTACTTTCTTATCAGCCAATGCTGCCAAGGAGCTGCTGGTTCCCTACTTCCCCCCAGTCATTGAAAGCCTGAAGGGGTTCCTGACCACCACCTCTGAGGAAATGAGGTCTCTGCAGACTCAGTCTTTGGGTAGGTACACCACAGAGACTTTACACCACACTCGACAGCATCATGGATGGATGGAGGTTAATCATCTGTTTCTGTCGCTGTTAGATACTCTCTCTGTGCTGGCCCGTGCCATCGGCAAAGATGTCTTCAGTCCTCTCGCTGCAGAGTGTGTCCGTCTGGGCCTCAACCTCACAGACACTATTGATGACCCTGACCTGAGACGCTGCACGTATGTAGCTTAGTGTCTGAACATGCTTTTTTTACCACAGGATTCCCAGTTTCTAACATAATCTGAACAGATGTATTTGAAGACAAAAAAGTGTTTATAATATCTTATATCCTGTAGTCTTTACTCGAACTCTCTCTTTGATCCCCTCCCTCAGGTACAGTCTGTACTCGGCTGTATCCACAGTCAGCCCCGACTGCCTCACTCCTCACCTCCCTGCCATCACTACTATCATGCTGCTCGCTCTCAAGTCCAATGAAGGCATCACGGTACTTAGCACACAACCAGCACTCTGAGACCCACAGGCCTTTCATCAAATACACTATATTTAATACAGCATTTCACTTTGTATCTCTCCTATTCTCTCTTCAGGCACACGTTGAGGAGGACAAGACCTTTGTCCTGCTGGATGATGACGATGATGATGACGACAACGATGTGGAAGGAAACGATTCAGTTGAGTTTCTGGACGATGAGCCGGACATAGATCTCCATGATGTTGCAGGGTAGGAGTCACACACATACACACAAGTACAAATGCATTTACATTTAATACCCTTAAGCAAAATCTGTTCTCACTACGTCTGATACCCTCTCTATCCATCTCTCAGGTTTAGTGTGGAGAATGCATACATCGATGAGAAAGAGGATGCCTGCGATGCGCTGGGAGAGATTGCCTTCAGCACTGGGTAACAGATATTTACAAAAAAGGTTTTTGTAATAAAATCTATCAGACATTTCTTGTGGCATGCTTTACCTTGCGTTGCTATGGTTTCCCCTGACAGTGCTGCCTTCCAGCCCTTCTTGGAGTCCAGCTTCCAGCAGGTTTACGAGATGAGAGATGTAAGTCCCTCTTGCTGCTCAGCCCCATTATCCTCGGTCTAAAGTCATGTGAAGCTCCCTTTGTGCATGCATACTTCAACTTGACCTATCATGCTGTTGACTTGATGCTTTTATCTGTATCCTCCCTCCCTAGTTTCCCCACGAGGACGTCCGCAGGGCAGCATTTGGAGCTATGGGCCAGTTCTGCAGAGCTCAGCATCTAGTGTGGAAGGAGATTCCCACTGAGGCCAACCACCAGGGTAAAGCCCCTCTTCTCACCAACTCCACACTACTGTCATTTCTTCAGGAAATACATAATTGGGCAGTGCTGCTTTCAGCTTCAAATACAAGTGTTCTCTCAGCATTTCTACTGGTTTCAACTCCTTTTGAACTTGCTTCCTCCTCCTGTACGTGTCGTCTCCCTCCACCAGCCTTACTGAAGTTGCTGAATGTGGTGCTTCCCTGCTTTGTGGAAAGCGTTCGAACGGAGCACGAGCGCCAGGTAGTGATGGGCATCCTGGAAACAATGAACAACGTCATGAAGTCCTGCAAGGAGGAGGCTTTCAAGAACCCTGCACGCCTAAAGGAGATCAGCCATGTCATCCGTGACGTGCTCAAGAAGAAGGTGAGAACACTGACAATCATCCCACGGCGGCTTTATTTACTTTTCACAAAATTGATATTCATTATATTTGACTGTTGGGAGTTATTCTTCTAACCCTCCACTATGGATGTGTTTCTGCTCAGACGGTTTGTCAGGACGGTGGTGGCGATGAAGCTGATGATGAAGAACAACAGGTTGGTTTTCCTCTTGTTGCATATTAAGTGAGATCTACTCCTAAGTGTCACCACATTACAGTTTCCTTTCTATAAAGGATGTGTTAATACTAATGAATATAAATCAGCATGGTTGTGGACATATTGATTTATTAGTTTTAAAGTGAATGGATAAAACATGGGACTGATAATTCAAGAATTTCAATTTCTTCTGCAGCTATGCCATCACACCGCTTCAGTCAAAATAAATAGCATCCATCGTACTCTGTGTGAGCTGCCTTACTGCCCAGTGACTCATTGTGCTTCCTGCTTCAGGCGGAGTATGATGCCATGCTCCAGGAGTTTGCTGGGGAGGGGATTCCTCTGGTGGCGTCGTCTGTGCCTGCAGACAAATTCTTCCCTTTCCTCAACGACCCTGCTGCCTCTGCTCATGAACAAAACTGTGAGTGTTGACCGACTGACAAAGAACCTCGGTTTAACAGATCTCTCGTTTACTCAATTACATTTATTATCCTAGTCCTGTTTTATTATGATACTAGAACTCCTGACAGTGCAGCTACTTGCCTTTTATATTTGTTAGTCACGAGTAAATGACAAGGGTAGAATCACAATATTATAATGTTTCAAAGCGTTGATGATTTTAATCAAAGGTGCATTTAATGATTGTATTCCTCCCTCAAAAGAAATCCTCTTGCACGGTGGCAGACCGCTCCTTCTCTGTGGGAACAATCGGAGAAATCCTGCAGGCCCTTGTGACCGCACCTGGGGGCGCGGGAGTAGCGGGCCGGCTGTCCAATCGCTTGCTCCCCGTGCTTGTAGCTGGGGTGAGGGACAGTGATGCTGAGGTCCGCAACAACAGCGTGTTTGGGTTGGGGTGTCTGGCCCAGGCTGCCGGACCCATCTGTGTCACGTATCCTTCTGCGCGTCGATGTGTCCAATACATATTAATTACATAAAGCATCACATGCAGCTGTTCCTTAATGAAGCGTTCTCCAGAGACTATCCCATGATGCTGTCTGTCTTCTCCAGCATGCTGACCAAAGAGTCAGACCTCAGGGTGATTGACAATCTGTGTGGAGCCCTCTGCAGGATGATCCACAGCAACGTGGAGGCTGTCCCTCTCGAGCAGGTACTGATTGTATATCATAAATGCTGACACATATTCACAAACTGGAGATCTACTGATAACCTGAATAATCTTTGTGCTCGCTAACAGGTTGTGCCCGCTCTGGTGGGTCGTCTTCCCCTCAAAGAGGACATGGATGAGAACAAGACCGTGTACAGCTGCCTGGCCATGCTCTACACACACAGCCCTGCTCTGGTACTGCACACACACACACGTTACACCTGGTGTTATAGTCTGTGTGTAGAGGATTGTGTTAACATTCAGTCTCCATCGGCATACAACACACTCAGTAACTAATTAGACACATTCTACAGTTTGTCTTTCAAGACTTTTAAATGCCTGCCTCATGCCTGCCTCATGCCTATATCAGGACACAGAGAAATTGGTGGCAAACAAAAGCAGAATTGGAGCAGCTGTTGAAATGTTTCCCATGATCCCAACAAATATATTGACAAATCTCAGGCCAATCTTTTAAACATCTTTATTACATTGTGTTATGTTTTATAAAGTAGTTAAACAACACTTTGTGCATACTGAACATTTTAACTCTCTAGCTCACGCAGACTTTTGACAAACATAGTCATTTAAAGACAACAGGAAAGCTAAATATTTGATTCAGTCTCTCACAATCTGTTCTAACGAGCTTCAATGATACATGGTGATGAATCTTTTCAGACATTGTGTGAATTGTGTCCATGGACTTGGACCCTGACGTTGAACATTGTTACAACAGTTCTTTAAATCTGTTTTTCCCTTTCAGGTTTTGGGGCTAATGAAGCCCATCGTGGCCGCTTCCAGTCAGGTCCTCGGCAACAACAAAGTGGATCAAGGTGAATTTAGATATTGTCCCTCATTAAGCTTCCTCAGTCACCACAGATTCATATTGCTGTGTTTTTGAGTAATCCCTTAACTCTTATTGTGTCTCTCCTCCTCAGAAACCCAGAGCATGTTGGCGCTGCTGATGAGAGACTTTGCTCAGCAGCACTCTGCAGCCTTCCAAGCAGCTGTGAGCTCACTTCCTGGAGAGCAGCAGGCAGCACTCAGCGCAGCCCTCTCGTAGCGCACTCACGTCCTTCCACTCGGGTCAAAAGCCAGCAAAAAAAAGACGTGGGGACAGTTTGACACTCCTCCCAAAAATGATCTAAATATAGCACTTCAACCATTCTTGTTATCATTTCATTTGACATTTACACCTAGGAGGATTCACTTTTAATGTATTTGCTCAAACGCATGATGTGTTTATGTTTTATTATTTTAAGAGTTACCCTCCCGTGTTGTTCCCATTGTGTTCTGTTTCCCTGTTATTACTGTAAAGTGCTTCTACTATAGTCTACCTTTCTGACACGGTTTGGACTTCTGGCTTCTGCTGTCTGAGTGTGAAGCATTGATCTGCTGATAAATGTCATTATTTGTTCCAATCTTAAAACAACTGAAAATACTTTTATAGTTCACACTAATAAAAACTACTTTATCCGTATAATAGCTCATCCTATGACTGTTTGCAGCCGCCTCTATTGTGCTGTTTCTACGCAGCCTGTTCAAACTATTTAACAGTATACAACATATATTTGACAAGTGCAAGATATTTTTACAAATGCTACAAAGATTTAACATGATGCCACAATGCATGCCGTGGAGTTAATGTTGAGCCATTCATCCTCGCCTTGCTCTAAAAACAACACTTTGAGTCCTATAATAAATGCAAACTTGCATCTCAGGCTAAAAGCGGAGTTAACAAAGTGTTTTGTCGTGGAGTAGTTGCACATTAATGTTGGTATATTGACATTAATCTGCTCTCTGGTTGGGTGATGGTGGCTCATCCTTCCTCAGATCTCCCGTTGCTCCTCAGTCATTTCAGGCTGCTGGTTTTCCCTGTCCAATGCCAAAGTCATCTGCACCGGTGTCAGCCCGTCCCCTGACAGACAGAGAGGTCTTATTTTAAATGCATGTGCCACCTGAACCACATAGATATATCTGTATGTGCTAATAGTGGTAAATGCCACACATTCGTAGCGAGTGGAACCAGCCCTATGAAGCTTTTCACACAACTCAACTGAGAGGACACGTCAGGTCTATGATTATTAATATTATGAGTGTCTAAATCTGCCTGTTTTCACAGTTGTTGACATCAGGCATCTTTAGCTTGCTGTGTCACTACCGCCTGAACCAAAACGCATTCTATGCATTTCCTCATACACGAATGAACATCTATGATTGGACAGTTGAACAGATTTTTAAGCGAGATAAAGGCTAAGTGGATAATTCAAGTAATTCTTCATTTTAAAATGGCTTAGCTTTAGAGATTTCCGGCTTTTCTGTGTGTATCATAATGAACTGACATTTTTGGGATTTGAGACATTTAAACTAATTTCTGTATAATCTGATTAATTGAGAAAATAATTGGCAGATAAACCGATAATGTAAAGTCTTTAGTAACAACTTTAACAAACGGTCCACGGCTTTCTCTGGACTCTGATGTAAAGTATGTTCTCATTTCAATGCCTCAAGCTTTAGCACAGTGCGGTGATCTCAATCACTGACAGTTCACCTCTCTGTAGGGCCGCTGCAGCCAGAGGCCGGCTCAGGGACTTGTGGGGCAGGGTTTTGCACAAACAGAAAATAACTATTGGATAAAGTATGAGCTAACAGATAATGACAATCCATAAACCCTGAGAGCTGGAACGGCAACCTAAGATACCGTATTGAATGAAGTGCTTACAGACCTGTGCCTCCGCTTTTCCAAGGCAGGATATTCATCCCTGTGCGACAGAAGGAGCGGTCAGTGTGGGCCTCGGTGCTGTACAGCACCTCCTGCATCTGTTTCTCTCCGGGCTTCTGGGCTTTCACTCTCACCTAGAAGAGCAAACAAATCATTTTGTAATCCAGACACACACATCATTTGTTTTTTTCCACTGGACAAAAAGTCATACCTCGAGGATGGTGACCTCTTTCTCCTTCAGCTTCCCTGCTTTGTTCTTAATCTGGGTCTTCTTGGTGTCCACCCACACCACCCTCTCCTTCACCTCTGACCTGCACACAGACACATGTTAACAAATGTACATGAAATATCTTTTTAAGACCTCTCACATGGAGCAGACTCACTCTTGGATGCCCAGGTCGGCCAGTGTGGTGTCCAGGAAGGGGAACGGCTGGTGTGCCGGGTCGGGCTGCACCTCTATGGGCAGATCCACAGACATGGGGAGGTCCCACTCCAGCTCCACGCGCACCATGGTTCCCCGTGGGGTCTCCTTGCCCGCTGGTTCTCCATTGGCCTGCTCCACATCGGCCTCTTCCTCCTCCAGCAAGGTTTGTGTCTCGTCTGCTGCCAGCTTGACTTTGTGATCTCAAACTAAAATGAAGTTTTCCTCTCCGTCTCTGACTGATGCTCTGTTTCTGTTCTGCTGCAGGAACAGGCTGCCGCTGGTGATTCAGAGCTCTGCCTCTTGTGATGATGGAGGAAAGTGTGAGAGTGATGCGTACAGACTTGTGCCCTCTGATTTAAGCAGCCGGTGTGAATGTGTGTTATGTGCCACTCAGCTGTTAGGTTTATTAGACTGTCAGGGTGGTGATGGACGGGCGGTGTCTGCACTGCCAGGTGTCGTTGTTTTTATCAGTCTGGGTGAATTCAGTGGCCTTAAGCACTTTTATCTGTGATGAAACAACTGAGAATGTAATGCTTTTTAAACTACACTTCATATTTGTTTTAAAATAGGCTTTATAACAATATTCCAGAGGTGACATCAAGTTTATTTCTGTTATGAGGTGATTCTCTCCACCATACATCTACAACTCCACTCATTTGTCCCCATGTTATCATTTAAATGAACTTGAGGTTGACACATGGATCATTCACAGCACAGCGTCATATTTTCAGCTTTTGAAAAATGTGTTCTTGTTCTTACTTTACAGTGGGACACACACATGGGACACGTGTGGATCCATGTGTGTGTGTGTTGTGCTGTAGTAAGTAAGCCATCTTTTTACCACTAAACTAGCACTCTGGGCCCAGCATGTCACATTCCAGGGACAGAGGACTCAATAAATCCTCTTCACGGCAGCACTGCGGACGGATACCGATGATGTAAAGGCTGGGGAATGTATAGAGCCAAAGGCAGGTCTAAGCATCAGGGTATGGTAGCTGATTAAAGTAGTGTATTTCCACTAATAATGTATTTTGTTAGCACTTGATTATGTAAAGGGTCCCCATTTTTTATTTCCCTTAGCTTTATAGCATCTTTCTGCTTGTTTTTTTATGCTCAAATCAGATTTTAGCCTGGTTTTCTTCACTTTCAAAAAAAGCCCTAAAACTCACGCAGTTAGCTACAACACCTCCTGAATATAGTAAAGCATTAATAGCAAAATGTCCATATATTCTGACCACAATCCAGGCCAAATGCTAATGTTTTCAAGCTCAACCGGATATTTAAAAATAAAATGACAGGTTGAATCTTTTCCAACACATTTTTCGACAAGGTATTTGTACCACCTTTTTATGTTCATGCGAATAACATCATGATATTTTGGCCTCAGTAGCCAGCCTGTGACCCTGCTTTCCCAGCAATGTGTGTAAACAAACACTCACATTTTGTCCTTCAGTGCCACTGATGAATTAATAGTGGAGGAGGTGGCCATGACTAACCGGCAAGCTGTTTCAAAGCAAGGCATTTAGCCCTTAACCATGTGGCTTTGTTGTTCACAATTAGGCATCCCTTCAGTCAAAAGCAGGGTATATGCAGGCATCCTGAAGTCAAATGTAATACCTTTTAAGGCCTTTTTAAGCCTTTTCCATACATTTTAAGACCTCATCGCCACTTCGAGTTTTAACCGGTTACATTGGCGACACACTTTACCTCACATTTACTATATACAGTATTGATTGTCCTTCCTCCTTATCTTCCAACCATTTGGACGCAAACTTGCATTTCCCCATAACTATGTTGTTTAAACGGACCTTCGCGCGCTATCAAGCAGTGAGCGTGCGATGTCCTGTTCAGATGACGTCAAATCCAACGGGATGCCATAAACTACAAATAATCACACTGCACACCTACGCAATTGATTACATTCAGGCACACTTTAGAATACAACCTCTTTGGACAATTTGTATACTTATTGAAAACAAGCTACAAAATGTAATATCTTGGAAAATGCCGTTTTATACTTCTTAATAGCCTTAATTTTTGCTAAATTGATTGATCAACTTTTAATACTTTTTAAGACCCCGCGGACACCCTGCTTAAGGGACAGTGTATTTCCTGGCATAGCAACCAGAATGTATCACAAGTAGTATCAACAAAATCCCCATTCTGCTGTGTTGATGTGAGTGAGGGTTTCTGCAGCACTGACCTCAGCTCAGTCGCAGCGAGGTGCCACATGGATCCGCTCTACATGCAGTGCATTTAACAGGCAAACACTTTAATTGTGTGGAGTTATTGGGGCATGAGGTCAGGCAGGAGTTTTCTGCCAGAGCGGCACAATATGCTGTTGGAGGGGGGGCAGTGCTGATGTACTTACAAGTCACAATTCACTGGTTTCTGTATGTGTTTCTGCACCATAAGCTTATACGAGTGATGCTTTTCATTCCAGTACAAGCTAGATTCATGCTATTATTCTGGGATTTATCTCGAGAGATCAATATCTGTAAAAAAGAGACACACTCACTTTGCTTATCTATCCAATTAGGGCGTAACCTGATTTACAAATGTTTCCAGTTATCCTACTGTTAATATAAGATGACAACATCATATAGAACATGAAAGAATTAAGTAATTTTCTCAAAAACTGCAAAAGTTTATTAGGTCTGAATGTGGAAAAACAATTCAACATCTTAAAAAATATTTGTTATTAAGTAATTAGTAAATATAATTCACAGAGCAAATACAAAATGCATAAAGGCTTAATTTCAAATCATTAAAAAAGTTAAAAATCCATTCAGAATTTACAAACTGTATAACATGTTCAGATGTTAAAAACTTCAACAACAATAGATACAATTCATTTAGTAACACTAATACATTCAGTTGGTATACATATCTTTAAATACAACCATGTGAACAATTAAAACCAGATTAAAATGGTTAAAAATATCTTTTTAAAAACACCAGTGAAAAGGAAATAATGCAGTTCAATGTTTCACCCTTATGAGTATTTTAACAATTAATATAAAAACATTTAACTTGTGTGATGTGTTTTTTTAAATGAACGCTATCATGAGTGGCTCTGATGATCTCATGTGTTACCGAAAGCCAAAGGTTCTCATTCATTCATTACATCCATCAATATAAAAAACTGTTCCTCAGCAGGTCGAGTAACAACTGTGTGTGTGAGTATGTGTGTGTGTGAGTGTGTGTGTGTGCTGTGTGGTGTGTGTGTTCAGGCTGCAGGGCTTATGGTGATGCCACTGTAGGGCTCAGTCTGTTTTATGGTCACATGTCCAGCAGACAGCAGCTCTGTAGAACAGGAACATCACAGAATCATCAACATTTTTGTCCAGCCATCTTAAAATTGTATATTTAACTGACAATCACTGTTTGTATGAAATTCATTCTTAGGTCATCAATGCTTGTCAATATCTTAATTGTCATTAAACGTGCGTGCTCACCCAGCAGTTTGTAGAGTGTGTGAGCTGCAGTGGCGCGGTTGGCCTCTCGGGACACCAGAGAGTCAAAAGTAACTTCTCCAAATCTTTGCAGTCCGGAGGAGATCCAGCTGGGAAACACAAGCAAGGTGAGCAGTGCATCATGGGATCCAACCTTGAGGACTTGTATGGACACATTAGGGGTTATACCCAATAACTACATAGGTAACAGTTACACATCTAATGTAAAAATCTGCATTAATATCTGTATGACACTTGTAAGTTACATTATTGTGTATACAGGCTTTATTCAGGGTTCTTACACCTTTTCCAAAGTCAAATTCAAGCACTTTTCAAGCATTTTCAAGGTGCATTTTCAAGCATCTTACAGCTGTTGTAAATTACATATTTATACACACATACTTATACTCAAATGATTATTTCCCTACCTCACATTAAATCAGATGTTCTTTATGCTATAAACAACCAAATGTGTGTTTCATAATAGCATTCTACATGAGGATGAAAAATTAAAAATGTTAGAAAAGAAAACTAAGTTTAATATTTCAAAATGAGTGACCCATCTGTACGTAGACTGGGCATCCCATATAACCTGGCTGAGCCAATATAAAACAATCAGCCAAATAACTTTTCAATACATTATTGATTACTATTTTTGAGGTACTTTTAGGTTGGCAGTAAACACAAGTCAGAGGTAAATGGTGTACTTTGACTCCACTACATGTATTTAATACCTTTAGTTACTTTAGAGATGAATGATGTGAAATATAATCAAGTGTTAAATCAGACTTTAGTTCCACCTGGAGTAAATTCACAAGCTACCCTGCAGTATACAAAGTCATTCAAACTAGCTGCAACTTTACCAGCTTTGATAACACTTTCATGATCAATCATCATAAAACATATCATATACAATTATTAGGGATGCTCCGATCGCCAATTTTGGAGCCGATCGCCGGAATCAGTATCGGCCGATACCGATATCGCTCTCTTTTCCTTCTCCCCCTCTCTCTCTCCTGACAGCCCGTCAGTATCTCCTGCAGCTCACTGATCCAGTAATGAGCGACCCGACAGTGAAGAATAAATATATTTATAACTAGTTTAGCTTGTTCCAGAGGTAGATAAAATAGCTAAGTGTGTTAGGTCTAACTCTTAATGTGTGTTTTGCTCCGCTCACCGGTCCGTCACAGCGGGTGGAGCTGCAGGATTTCTGCTTCACACACACGTTGCATACCGCTATTTTATTGTCATTTTCGGACACTTAAAATACTGCCAGACTGGTGAAGCCATTTTGGCGAGCTTGTTTTGCCGCGCACAGAGAAAAGTGTCATGTATTTTACATGCAACGATAGCCTAATCTAAAATGCTATACTATGGCGTACCTTTCGTGTGGTGTGTGGCGTCAGCGCAGACTCTCGCATCGTTATTGTTGCACACTTTGCAGGAGGCTACTCTTGGGCTTCGCTTGACCCTCGTCTTAGCCATGGCTTGTATTTGTCTTCTGCTAGCCAACGCTCGTTGAAACGGCAACCTCCTGGCATACTGTCATCTATCACTCTCATCAGAATGCCCAGGTCACACACGTAACAAAAACACTTGCCGGTCACGCGCATTGCGCGGGAAGGCCGGAGCGGAGCTGTTTTATGTAAAAGCGAAGCAATTAAGCGCGCTCCGACTTCTTTATTTTCTTTTAATCTAAAAAGCGAAGTAAAGCATTTACAATTTCAAGCACTTTATCCCAAATTCAAGCACCATTCCCAAAATTCAAGCACTTTTCAAACCTTGAAAACACCTCGTACAATTTCAAGCATTTTCAAGGATTTCCAGCACCCGTACGCACCCTGTTTATTACTGCTATGGAATTACACTTTTAGACATCACAGACAACCCTATTTTATACAACAAATACTGATCGCACAAACTCCTTCATATCTAATCTCTGAGTGGCCTCTGCGTGATATTTACTCAAAGTCTATGGATGTTTTAATGTGTAACCCTGTGCGGAGTATAATATGCAAATGTAGTGTTGCGCAGGTTCGTCCCTCGGGCTTGTTGCTCGTCTAATTTGAATTTCAAAGCAAATGTCCAACAAAGTAGGAAGTGGTCCACCTGTGATGCTGGAGGCAAGTGTTTGTCCGAAAATAAGCAAAGTCACGAGGGAAGACGCAAATAGCTTTTTATATATGTATGAGCTAGTATACCCTCCACAGCCACAGTCTACCTTTATTCAAATAAGCACTCACAAAACATTCATCACCTCAGGATGACGCTGACAACAATGCTGGAGTCAGGTTGAGGTTACTTTATTTGCACCCGTAGGTAGATTAAAAGCTTCTAGATGCACCGGTGCAATTAAGTGGAACTGCAGTTTTTCAGCATGAATACAGAGAGGAAAAACTAACTCAGGAGTCAGGATGGAAAACAATCTCAAAGGAAAGTCCCATGGACAGAATACCAACCACCAATCAGGGCTTCGCTAACATTGGACAATTTAAGTAACCAAATTAAAATGATATATTTCTTCTATTTTTTATTCAACAACATCTTGGCTTCAGGAAAACCTCAAAGCTGCAAGGCTTTTGCTAAATTCTTGAGTGTGTGTTGTAAGGAGTACCTCAGCATGTCCCTGCTCTCTGTGTCAGTCTGAGCCTCGGGCATCTCGATGTTCTCCTCTGCTATTGGCTCCATTTGTAGCTGGGACTCCATATGTGGAGACCTAAACACACACACACACACACACACACTCACTCACTCACAGTGATCTCTTTCTATATCCATGGAGCTGGGCGTCTGTCTATCCCCCTGAGACTCACCATCTGCTGACGGGAGTGATCACATCGGTGATGGATCTGTCGTCCCGTGACATGTCCATCAACACATCTGATGCAGCTGTAGACACACAAACATATAGAAACACAAAGTCATGTGACCGTAATGTAGTTCCTTTATAACATAAAGCTCTAGGGAGTGCATTTACGCTTCAAAAAGCAGGACAGTGTGTGTGTTTGCCACCGAGCTATTTTCCGCAATATTCTAAAATAATGAAAACTGCTTTCTGTGTGGGGAGCCCTTGCGACGCTACCTTCCAGGTCGGCTTCCAAAAAAGACGTCATCACTGCACCAGTCTTTTGTGCTTCCAAAACATGATTTAAAATACTGACATATTGTGTGAGAGGGGGAGAGAGGAGGGATTCTTACATGAGCCGTCGGCGGGTTGCAGTCCTGACTCACTGGATATCTGAGAGAGAGGGTCAGAGCTTCATGAAAGAGAATAATGTAATTTGTCTCACCACTGAGCTGAACACTCAGCCTGTGACCGCAGGCTAGCTGGCTTATTATTACAGACACATCTTCACAAATACCCTCTCAGATTTTAGCATGGCACTAAAGCTTAATAAGAAATGCCATATTTTATTTTTACAGATAAAACTTCAGGACATTATATAGTAGCAGGGGCTTTAAAACAAGACTGCTCTAAAAATACCACCTTCACACACCTCTCTCATGCTCGATTGCCTCCTCTTCCTCTCTGTCCTCAGTATTTCTCTGTCCTGCTCTGACCCCCCTCTCGCCCTCTCCTCCTCCTCCTCTCCTCCCCAGAGTCCAGGCAGGGAGGTGAGCAAGGCACACTGTTTCCATAGTGACAGGAGGTCAGCATTGACGAGGGCTGTGGAGGGGTCAAAGGGAAGGTCAGGGTCAGTATTTTATACTTTCTTCACTAAAGCTGATGTTATGAATTTGTGAAAAGGTACAAAGGAATGTGTTGTATTATTACCAAACAATGGATGAGTGGGGGAAGTTATACCTTCAGGCGCCTCAGTTTCTACATGTTCTTACTATGTTTTGTCTCTGATTGGACATCAAGTTCGAATCTCACCTAAAAATGTTGATTCTATATTTGATAGCCGTTGAGACTTATTTAACTTACTAAAACATGGAAAATGTTTTCTTAAGACATTCATTTATGGGATTATTTTCCTAAATATTTCCATGTGTATTTCACCAGCCAGCTTTCAAGTGACTGAAAAAACGACATTACCAATCTTCCCTTCATTCTTATTAGCATTTTAGCATCATTGTTATTAGCAATATTATTGTACGTGATTCAGAAAGTGTTATTTCTCTTGGACCATGATACTGAATATTTATGTATTTAGTAAGGGTTGGGATTTCACAACAGAATTGTTCAGTTTTTCTCTTTGAAATAGTTTTAAAATCCTGTCTTGATTTGTATTGTGAAAGATATGAGTGAAGGAATAGTTGTTCATATTAAATAGAATGGCCAGGGGTGAAGTGTGGCGCTGACCTCCACAGGGGGCGCTGAAGAGCTGGGCAGGAGGGGCACGCTTTGTCACGGAGGGAAAATCCAGCAATACCTCAGACTGAGAGGAAGAGAGAAAACATATTAGCTTGATGGTACAGTGTCAGATAGGATTTGTTTTCGTAGTACACCGTGAAGAGAGGGTTAAAGTCAATGATAGTGTCTCAAAGGTAATTCAAGAAATGAGGGAAGGAAAGAAAGCAAAACACAATCGATGAGGTCTGCCCCAAAGGGCTCAGAGAGCAGGAGAGTTTAATTAACTCTCACTCGGATGAATACACTTTGATGGCAGCTCTCTCTTACAGAATTGCAAAAGCTGAAAATCCAATGGTGTCAGTGAACTGTTGACCCTCCTCAGTGTATGTTTATGTCTCTGCATATAGTTTATACAGCTTTGGTATGGTGTGTTGACAGGCAGGAAGAGGGCTGTTTTAGTGTGCTAGTATGTATGTTCGATCTCAGGAACACCCAAATGAACTAAGTGGAAGAACAGTGTGGTGCAGATGTACCTCTATGGGGACCAAATCCCTCTAATACACTGCAGTCAGTTGATCCACTTAAAAACGATCTCTGAGTGTGTGTGTACCATGCTCAGTGTCTCGGCGTGCGGGTTTACGATCTGTTCCTTCATTGCTCTCTCAGATATCTGGACCTCAGGATCTGCAAAGATCAGCTGACGCTTGCGCCGCGCCGGGCTTCCTGAGCAGAGGAACCTGGTGGCAGAGAAAGTCAACCACACCTTTATTTGTTGACTTCTTGGTTCTAAAAAATAACTGGAAATGATGAGACTGTGTCGACACACCCACGCCTCCATTCCATCTAGTTATGTTCCAACTTTGTGGAATGTAAATGAAAGTTGATCTGTCACGACAGCAAATGATTTATCACCTTCATCACTGTGTTTACTTGGGACACCAGGTACTGGGTGTAAGGCCCTTCACTTGGAATAAATAGTTGGAATTTTCTATTTAGTCCCGGTATAAAAGACACAGTTCATTTTAATTAGAGAAAATGTATGCCTCTGGTAATCACACGGTATCTCCAAATATTTATAGTCGTCATGTATGCTCTTAATCGATTGGTCAAACTACACAACACACACTGTTTCACCATTTCAGTTAGAATTCGGAAAAATACAAATCTATTACTTAACAAATGACTAATTAGATAACACTATTTCTCACCCTTGTACAAGAACTTTCTGTCCCCTCTTCCCCAGAGGGTGGAGTTGGCATGGCAACCTGCGGAGGGGTCATCTCTCGGGAAATAGATGACAGAGGAGCGTCCTCAAGGTGTCCCGCCTCCTGGTCCAGCAGCCACAAACTGCTCTGCTCTGCTCTCAGCAGCGTCTCCTTCAGCCTGGCACACACACACACACAGACACACACACACCCACACCACACACCACACACACACACAGCTAAATATACTGACTGATGACACAATATTCAGTCGCTGCTGTTTATGTTTGAAGTCTTTCTTGAAACTACAGCATGTGACGTGTTGTTGTTGTTGTTTGTTTGCCTCTGTGTTAACATGTTGTAGCATTCACACAAAGGCTGACTGATAGTATCACTATGAAGTTTACATTGCTCTGAAGGTCATCAGAGCTAAAGTAGAGTTTTCTTTTAAGTGACTAAGACTCACTGATCCAAAGGGGACATGCCTCCCTCACGTGCATTAGTCTGGTCGCCTGTCTGCCTCTCCGTGTCTGTTTAGTGGCACAATGTCACAATTACATCACAAATCGACACGTATAAGACGTTCAGATGAACACATTTCACCCAAATCTTATCTGCAAAAAGCTTAATAGCATTCAAATGACTTGCTTTATTAAAGACACTTGTTTTCACTGTTGTATCTTAACAAATCCCCTTTCCACTCTCCGCTGTTTGAATGCAGGAAGTGAATCAGAAGCGAAAACAAAGCATGCACTTGCACATGCTACATGACCTTGGGCTGTCTTTGCTAAGAACAGGGAGCAGTTTTTAAGAGATGTTACTACTCTGCTCTCCTCTGAAATAAAACAATCTTCTGAAAATAAAGCTTATCTTTGGGGCAGCAAAAGCACTTACAGTGGGGCCACAAAGAGTTTGACCTGGTAGGCTGGTGCACACACTTTACAAGAGAGGAACACACTGTGGGCCTGATACATTGGATACTTACATGTAGTACAAACACACAGTAGGACATCAGACTGAATAACTAAAACACAAAGATATAAATACTTTTGATACACAAAGCACGCACCTCTATGGAACTGGTCTGGTTGATCCAACAACAAGTCCAACTCTCTGGCTGTGACTTCAGGAAGGTCGTCTCCCTCGAAATTCTGAGAGAGAGAAAAGTAAATAGATGGAGATAGGAATAAAACAGTAAACAATGTCAACAGCAACACAACACAGAAACTACAGGAGCATACATAAAGAAATCGGTAACTCTCTAACAAGCAGACAAAGAGAAAAGTCACATATGTACAAACTGTGAGTGCAGACTGATGAAGTTAAGTCATATCATATCAAGCCACAATGAGCTTCATCAGCGGATGGTGCTTCAGGAGGAGCATTATCAGTCGCTAAGTGACACCATGAGGAGGGTAATGGTGTGTGAAGGATGTACCGTTGGACATTTATGACTGAGATGATTTAGCTCTGCTTTATTTTAAGCACTGTGGACACTGAGAGGTAATTCAGGAAAGTCGGTTAGGCATCAGGTATTTTACATCCACAATCCACTACACCATTAACTCCACTGCATTATTCACATACAGAAAATTGGCGTCATTTTTAAACATCTAAAAATAGCCTCTCCCATAAATACTGTATCTGTTCTTTTTGTAGCATTATTGTCACCGGATAATATTCTGTTCTGCTCCAATGCTTCTTTCTCCGGACAGCAAAGACTAACATAGAGCAGCTAGCTTGTGACAAAGAGCTTAACTAGAGCTGCTGTGAGCACACGGTTCACATCCAATGATTCACCAGGACACCTGATGTTCTTCAATATGATGACTGGGATGTTTGCTGTCCCTGCACTGTGACAGAGAGTTTACCTCAGCAGTCGGGATGACAAACGGCTCCTTCTCCTTCAGGGAGATGGCAGCCGGAGGTGACCTGAACCCTGGGTGAGCACAGGAGGACGAGGATGAGGATGAGTAAGGGATGAGGAACATGTTTGCAGACCAACAGGAATGTGAGGTTAGCTGAGGATGATCAAGTGTTTGTGCCAAAATAAGGCCTGATGCATTCACATGTAATACAGGGTTCATACACTTTTTCACCAATGATTTTCAATGACTTTTCCGTGACCTTTACCTAATTTTCCATGACCAAAAACTTTCTCAGCAGTACCACTGAAAATGGTTTATTTTAACATGGAACAGGAAAATAAGGTCTGCATATGAAACATGTCGTGCCTATTAAAACAAATCAAATAGTAGGCTTACTAGCTTCTACACGCTAAAGCAACTAAAATCTCTCACCAGCTAAATACCTCGTCAGTTAAATGCCATTTTTCGTTTCATTACTACACGATACAGCATGTATTATCATTATAGTTACTATTTCGGCGATTAGCTAAAATATAAATTATATTTGATGCAACTTTAGTTACATTTCCATGACTTTTCCAAAACTTTGGGAAAAATATTGTTTTCCATAACTTTTCCAGGGCCTGGAATTAGCATTTTGAATTTCCATGACTTTTCCAGGTTTTTAATGACCGTAAGAACCCTGGTAATATGTGTGGATAAATGAAGATGAATTCACTGATTAGAGAACATTTATTCACTATTTCCTAACAGGAGTGGAAAAAGCAATAAGTGGGCCAACATCCTCTTTTGGAATCTCAGCTAATGAACTGACCCAATTATAAATCCCCTGAAGATTATTTGATTATCTTGACTGGAAACATGTAAAATGTTACCGAAGCGACGATTACAAATCCTAATAATCCTAATTCCTAATTAATGTCATATTTCCACAAAGTGTCACAAAGCAGGGTGGAAGCATCCAGAGAAATCCTCTCATTGCACAGTTTATAAACATCGTTATAAAGTCAGTTATGTTCAGGTGAGGCTGCTTCCAAAGGATTTATGATATGTTTATTTATGACATTTCGTCTCACCCTGATGGTCCAGTGTGGCGTCGGGACTGGTCAGCAGGGAGTGCTGTGAAGCTGCCTCTCCATTCACACACATTTGCTAAAAAATATATAACAAATGTATCATAACAAGGCAGAATACTAACACAAATGTATTTATCATAAGTGTGGACTGAGACTGAAGAACACAGCATAGTAACGAACACAATGTGTAAGTAAACATGATACAGAGGTTATTAGTATTGTTTTCTTCCTCCTGTCTGACACCTGATGCACTTCCATATGTTTAAAAAGTTGAAATTCAAAAGCCAAACATACAGCTGTTTCTATTGTGCATTGTTAAAGGCTAAGGGATCCTTTACAATTTATGATAGAATCCAATAAATTATTTTCACATCATTGCCACCATGTTATGTTCTGGACTCTTCTGTGATTTAAGTCCCTCACGGTATTCCTACGATGAAAGATTACAGGGAGGACAAAGTCCAGCCGTGTGTGCCAGATTTACAGACTAGCAGTAATAGATGTACAAAGTGATTCACTGTTCCCCTTATGATAATACCAATGGACAGTATGGAGGGAAATTGCACATATGTTGCTAGAATGGGATTGACCTCCATGAAACAACGCCTCAGTTAAAGTAGGTGGTTTATCAATGATTGATAATAAACACTGGGATATTGTCAGTTTGTAATGCCTGAGGTGTGGGTCGAAAAACAAATAATGTTTGACACCACCAACAGGTAACATCACAAGAGCATATCTTTAAGCCTATATGGCCGTGTAGAGGCTAAATACGGTATGTTTACTTTAGATAGGTGTGGCATTGACGGTACATGTGTGTGTGTGTGTGCCAAAGCCTCAATTTTACTTACGGGCAAAGAGGGCTTGCCTTACTGTCATAAAGATGTGGGAATATTTCAGTTTGTCTTAGACATTATTGTTATACATATGAGTACAGGATACATGAGACAGACATCAGATTATTGTGGGATATGTACTTCAGGGTGTAGATATTGTTGTTATACCTGGTGTGTTTTATAGGGGCTGGGCAGTTGGTGTGATGCCATGAGGCCGAAGAAAGGGTCCTGAGCTCCCTCCATCTCCTCCATAATATACAGGTTTTCAGGCACATCCAAGGCCAACCTGCCAGAAAAGAGTGAATATTACTTATCAAACTATTGAAAATCACACATGTTTTGGGCTGTGCAGGCTAATGTAATGCTATGCATACTTGTATCTGTCTGTTGGTTTCATGACATGATAAAATAATACTAGAGTAAGGTTCATGCACAGCATCTATGGAGTGCAGAATGTAGGAAGATATATTGCATCTGCAGGAGAGCTCATACATTACCGCCGCTAAATGACACAGCTTATTAAACATTTACGAGCCATTCTTCACATGAAAGAAGCTCAATTTGTCCATCACTCACGCGATAAAACTCTACCATCTCTTCACAGGCTTTATTCCCCAAAACAATCCCCCTTCATAAATATTCCACTACATGCTTATGAGCTCAGATTTCTCTAACACATATAAAACCTTTCCACAGCTTCACATTTTGGATGCCCTAGGATACAAAACAGTCTTCCACTGCGTGTGTGTGTGTGTGTGTGTGTGTGTGTGTGTGTGTGTGTGTGTGTGTGTGTGTGTGTGTGTGTGTGTGTGTGTGTGTGTGTGTGTGTGTGTGCAGACCTGTCAGACTCAGTCATGTCAATGTAAGTGCATCTTTTAGAGCGCAGCAGGCGTTCTATGGTCTGTTGAATCTCCGCTGGAAAACAGGAAGACAAATATGAAAAGTTTCAAACACACCTTTTGAGAAGTGCAGGTATTTCCTGCAGAAACAGAAGCAGAGGTCATATTGAGGTCAGGGTCTTAAATATCTGACATGGCAAATCTAATGAAGGTCATGTGACCATTATTTCGCCTCCACAAACAAGAGGAGTGGGCAATGCATCCTAGAAATACATTGTTATAATTATCTAAGGTAATTTATAAAAGATTATTATGTATAAACTCAGGGTTTGTTGAAATCCACCTACTAGTCTGGATTAATAAAATAGTGGTATAATTTTCAAAGATCATATTAGGAAACTGGGAAGCCATGCTTTTGAAATACAGCATAAACACATCATGCTCTCTAAATTGTATGTGACAGTTTTGCAGGTTCCTATTTTATTCTACTGATTGTTGAAATGAAATACCGTCGCTGAAACAGAAGGTGGATGCTTTCTTGGCATCTCCTGCGCTTATCATTATGCATTGTATTTCACTGTTATCATCCTCCGTGACAACAGCATGATTGTGAATCTGTCGGGCGCAATATCAATGTCAGGGTGTAATTTAAGACCATATGAATAGGAACTGTTCAGCTGTGTTTGATGATATTGCATTCATTAGCGCTATATTGGCTTCTTAATGAGACTTGCAAGGGGGGATCTGAGAAAATTCATTGTGTAGATGTTTTGGTTTTACACCAACACAGCTGAGATTCTGCATTTAGAACTGACAGAGACAACCGGTGTGTTGTGTTTTCATATTTTGCTAAGCTTACCTTGGAAAGCCGCCTGAAAAAAAAATGTTCGTGCTACACTAAAGATTCTTCCTGCTTGACTGCATTGCACTTGTTTTACTTAACATCTAAATGCTGGCACAGTAACTGAACAAACAGTATTTGTTTGTTATGTCTTATCTTGCAAAAGTAAGTCAAACATTTTTTCTTTTCACTTTCACTATGCCTTAAGTTAAAGTTAGTGTGTGTAGATAATGTAGCCTGGACAATGATTATTTTACCCTTTTTTTTTTAAACGCTTGTTCCAACTGGTCTTCTCCTCTTACCCAGCAAGTAGCCACACTGCCGGTGGTAGACCACGACCACCCCGTACTGCAGCTGAGAGGACAGGTAGAGGGAGAAGCGAGGCCTCGGGAGGGTCGGCTGCAGTGGAGGAACCTGAGCTGTCACATAGTCCAGAATGTCCCCACTGTATGTTGAGACATTTAACAAAATCAATGATGCAATTTAACATTGTATGTCAAGTCAAACTGGATTTAGGGCCACACCTAATGATTATTTTCATTTTCGTTTAATTTAGATTTTGTTCATCCCAGTTTTTGAAGATCCAAGGTGATGCCTCTACTGTAAATGTCTTGTATGGTAATTCCAAAACAAAAGATATTCAGTTTAACACGATATAAAACAGAAAATCTCCATAATTGAGGCTGAAAACAGCATTTTTTTCTAACATGAAATATTATCTTAGAGATGGCGATTCTATCTATCAATTGTTCGATTTATGTTGTATGAATTTAGGTTCAAACTCTGGTAGGATTAGCTTTACAGCTAACTATGCTAACCTAGCAGATTGCTGGATAGCAAGCTGCTAAAGATGCATTGTAGCACAATGATAAACTTTAACCTGATTTAATGCTGTTTTACAAAGTAATATGACTTTAAGATTGGCAGAAGTGAGATATGGGTAGCTGATGGTAACAACAATGACTATACTATCATTCACAAATCAAACACATCTTTATATTACTTAAATGCTTGCTAGCATTCTTTACCATGTTATCCCAACATTGACTTTGAGAAGCTCTTTGCGGGTGATCTTGATGCCTCTGGTTGCTTCTGCTAACCTGAATAAGACCAACACCATTTAGTTAGAAGACAATAAAAAATATTGTTGACAGTCTATCAAATTTAGTTATTAAGATATGACTTGTAAAGTCTATTT